TAACCATCTCCCTCTGAACTTTGAACTTTGCCATTGGTGTAAGGAAAGGTCTAGAAATATATGATTGATATACTTTTTATCACCAGATCCCCCCCCCCCCCCCACCTAATTTTCTTCTTCCTTTTAATAGGTCGCCAGCTACCTAGAACTCCTGTCAAACCATCTGTTCTTCCACCTGAAGATGCTGATTCTCCAGAAACTCTACAAGATGCAGAAACTTCATGTGCAATAGAAAGTAGTGACCAAGAATCACTGTTTTTATCTGTTGCTCCAGCAGCTAATCATATTCCAAGTGGACGACAGCTTCCCAGAACACCAAAGGCTGAGGAAGACTTCAGTTCTAGTGATGATCAGTTAGAATTTAGAAAGTCTGAGCCTTTCTTGGAAGAAAAGTCACACCATAGTATTGACCTTGCAAAGCAGAATAAAACTGAAACAAACAGAAGAGGAACCTTTGTCCTCCCAACACCCCCAAGATGCCAACAGACAGTGGCTTTGTCAGAGGATTCTCTATATGATAGTGAAAGACGAGGCACTTTCACTTTTCCCCCACCTGCAGGATATGAAAAGAAAGATTCATACAGTGATGTTAGTGTAGATGCTAGTGATAGGAGAGGTACATTTTCTCTTCCCTCACCTTTAGGAAATGAGAGAGATGATGACACTATACTAGATAGAAGGGGCACATATACCTTTCCTCCTCCTGCAGAATTTAAGGGAGAAGATTCATATGGTGAGGAAGTGGACAATGAAGAAGAGAGGAGCACTTTCACCCTCCCTCCTGTTGGGTATGATGAAGAGTCCCACAGAAATGTCACTGAAGTTGAAGCAGATAGGGATAGAAGGGGCACATACACCCTTCCCCCTCCAAGTGGATATGGTGAGGATGACACATACAGTGCAGTTAATGCACCAATTAGAAGAGGAACATACAATGTCTCATCTACTGAAATGGATGGAGGAGACTCCTTTGATTATTGCCAAGATGAGGATGATGACATTTTCCAAAAAGAAACCAACATCAGAGAAAAATTTGGCGGCCCTCTACATTCTGAGAAAGAGGAAAGAAGAGGTACATGTGCTATCAGTGCTTCTTCAGGTGTTGGTGACAGACGTGGTACATATGCTGTCAGTGGTCCTACAGATGTTGGGGACAGACGCGGTACATATGCTATCACTGGTCCTTCTGAAGTTGGAGACAGACGAGGTACATATGCTATCAGTGGTCCTACAGATGTAGAGGACAGACGTGGTACATATGCTATAAGTGGACCTTCTGAAGTTAGAGACAGACGTGGTACATATGCTATCAGTGGTCCACCGGATGAAAATGACAGACGAGGTACATTTACTGTCAGCGGTCTTTCAGATGATAGTGATAGACTAGGTACTTATAACCTAGGTAAAGGCCCATGCCCTTCAGAAGACTATGTAGGGCCAATTTTCTCAAATAGAGTGAAAAAGGAGATTTTAGTTTTTGGTCAGGATTCTCTCAAAGCTAAGCCTATGGGACCTATTCCAGATTTAAGTGAGTTTGATGATCTGCCATTTACTAATGAACTCCCTGCCTCTGAAGTTGCTGTCAACGATTGTACATTTCAGCTTGATTCTGTTGAATCTTCTAGAGAAGTGTCTGAAATTTCTGGAAGAAATTTGGATAAACCAGTTAACAGTTATGAAGAAAAGAATGCTTCGCATGAGGAAATGCCATTGCCAGTCATTAGTGTAGCAAGTAACAGTGTGGTTGCACAGCCTCAGACAGCTAGAGAAAATTATATTCCACGAGGAAAACAAATACCAAGGACACCCAATGAGAATGACTCCAGGGAAAGGAGTGCCTCTCTGGTAAACAGTACTGGAAGTGTAACTGAAACTACATTTGAACATTCTAGTATTGGAAGTGATCCCAATTTCTCTGTTCAGATATTTGTCGCAACTCCAAAGAGGCACCAGAATGCTAAGCTGATTTTAGAGAAAAAAGGTGATGATGCAGTATTGATTGAGATCCCCAAAGATGATAGTGATGTGACTAGAAACAAAATCCAAAACAATTATGAAACTAATTCAGATATGAAAGTAACACATAAAGTAAAGCAAAGCCCTAAGCAGCTGCAGCCAAAATTAGTGGAGGAAAGTCCTAGGATAAATTTGGATGCAAATAATACTTCCAAAAAATATTCAGCTACCAGCAGTGTTGATCTTCAGGATAAGACATTGGAAGATAAGTTACCAAACCATCCTGCAGATTCTCTTTTCTTGAAGGAAACCAATATCTCAGACTTTGATGATTCTTTGGAGATTTTCCCCTCAAAGACTGGAAAAATAACCATGAAGAGCAAGAATTCCATTGCAAGTAACAATGGAGGAGCAAGTAGAGTTGCAGAGAGTGAATTAGCAAAAATAAATACTTCTATTATGGATACTGATAGGACTAAGATGGGTGATACTGAGAATGAGACTGAAAGTCATGTTAGTAGTAAGGAAGAGATGCAAAATAAGT